GTTTTGTTCTGTTGTTTTGGAGTGTTTGACGAAATCCTGCTTTCTGGTTTAATTTACGATAAAGGCAGATGTTGTTCAATCGCCATCAATTTGTAGGAGCTGAGAAAACACAAAAAAAAAAACACTAAGAATATACTGTTAGGAAAATTTGTCATTTGCCTTTGTGGTTTAGAATAAATTAAATTATCGTTTTGTCTACAGGAAAAAGAAGGATCATGAGAGTAATATCAGGAGTGAGGAGTGTGAAAAAACTTACAGATTCCCCCTTTTAGAGATTCCCTCTTTTAGAGATTCCCCCTGGAGATTCCCCCTTTTAGAGATTCCCCCTTTTAGAGATTCCCCATTCCCCGTTCCCCGTTGCCCATTCCTCGATTCATCGATTCCTCGATTCCTCGGTTCCTCGATTCCTCGATTCCTCGATTCCTCGATTCCTCGATTCCTCATTCTCCGTTTTAGAGATAGCCATTTGTAAAAAATCTCGGCAACGAGCGAGTAACTCAGATAGTAAACAAAGAAAGATATAAAATATGGCGTAATGATGCTCGCAAGACCGCAGTGTTCTTTATTAGAGACTTTTTCGACAAATGCTACCGTGGCCTCAACGAAACTGTTCGCATTGATTTCCGAAATTTAATTTCAGGAGCTCAACCCTCCAGTAGTAGTACCATTGATATGTAGAGCGGAATGCTTCTTGTCAATCTTTACTAAACTTCTGAGCCGAAATTTACAATAGCAGCCTCCAGCAACTTCACCTCTGTCATCAAAAACGTTCCCAATGCGTATTACAAAAGCCAACATTTGGTCTCATTTACAGTTAGCTGTTAATTTAAGATCAGAATTATAATAGAAATGTCAAATAAACTATACCCAGAAAACAAACAAAACAAGTTTCCATTTTTAGTGCAGCAATCGCAGTCACAAAGACCTTGAAAAAAAAAATGTAAAACGATACATGTGCCCGCAATATTGACTAATATAATGATTTCAGGAGTTTTATCTACTGGTCAGCAGAATTACTCCAGAATTACTCACAGATGATGGAAGGACATCATTTGCATATCATTTGCATAATCTGCACCACAACTAAAACCCTATAGATTGCCTACGTAATCTCCAGGTTAAGAAGTATACAAAGTCATTCTTGCGCAAGGTTTTTTCCTTGATCAGGATAGCATTTTCAAAGGAGACAAACTAAGAGCAGGAAACATGGGCACTTTCCATTATGCCAAAAATTCCTGAAATTTCGGAAATCAAATGGAAACGTTCGTTTCGGTTCGGTCCGACTGGAAAATTTGAGACCGCCTTTGGTGGTGCACGTTGATCAGTCGGACCGGTCGGACTGAAATTCGTCGTTCTTGTTTTGATAAACAGATTCGTTACCATGCTTTCCGCACTTAATTTCCTAGGGAATGAAAAGGTTAAAAATGAAAAATCGTGCCTGTACCAGAACACCCTTTAAAGTCAAATGGGCCACCCCCTAGTTAGCCCGCAAAATTACAAGTCTGGTCTTTAAACGGGTTGCGTTGCGACCACGTTTTCAATTCTGTGAAGCTGTAGCAAGTGGTTGATTGCGTTGGTTTACCTCGATGCATTTGTGGACAGTTGATTTGAACTTTTGCCCTTTTCCTACCCCTGCAAAGCAGATTTTTGGAAGGCGTTTTGTATTTTGACTTTTTTTTTTATCATGACAGGGTTCGTACTCTTTGAAACTTTTCAAATTCCATGACTTTCCATGACCTTTTCTATGACCTTTCCGAGTTTTCATGACCAAAGTTAAGCTGTTGTTCTCACAGCAGTATCTAAACAGTCATTCATTTAAGCAGGAGCCATAATCGGGGACGGAGACCGTAAGTCTCGGGATTCGCGCGTACCTATGATATGGGACAATTTT